TGGTTTTCATTATTCTTGCTGGCACAAGAGAAAACCCTAGAGGCTGCAATCATATTCTCTGTGTGGATCACCGTTGGAGGTTGAACAATTGGACAGCTGTGGTGGCGAATCAAGGTTGATGGAACGAAAAGAAAAGCAAAAGGATTGCAAATCTGAAAAAGGTACAATCTTATCACAATTTCTATCTAAACACAAAGGCGATTCTTGGTGGGAATCGAAAATTATTTTAAATTCCGCTGTGCATGTATAAGTAGATTCCCAACATTTTGCTTCCTTGAAAACAAAATATTGCTGGGCATGGTGTTTTAGAGTTGGGGAGTATGGTCATTGAGGTTTGTTACCAAGGCACAATTCCGGCAAGGTTTCTGGTTTAACAATGAAATGCATAATTTATATGATTACCAAAAAATGAGAGGAAGTGATATATCTGGTTATAAATAGGAGATTTCAAATATTACTGGCTAAAGCAAGAGATGCGCATTTTTCACCACTAAGCAAATGCTAAAATAATATCTAGCTTATGAACTTGTCAGTTTCCTAATCCATTTTCCGCTGCTGTCTGAGTAGTTTCCCCTCAATTAAGTTGTCATATTCATGTTCATTTTATGCTAGTATGTGATTTTGATATTGGCCTCTCCATGTCTCAGCCTTCAGGCAAAGAATTGATTTCTTTATGTAGAACACATTACATGGTCATCATTGATTAACCAACTCGCTATAAATAGTCGATGTATGGGTCAACTGCTTCCAAAACAGTGTAATGAGCTTTAGTCTTTAGCATATGTGAGCATTAGACTGTGACAACTGAAACAAAATCCTTGTTTCCTTCAATGTGAAGCAGGGGAATAGCTTCGCAAAACAAGGTTGAACATGGTCAAGACATTTGTGTGCAGTAGAATGTGGCAACTCAAGTGTTGCATCCTTAGAAACCACGGCAGAGTAATGAGATGCCTTAGTGTTTTTACATTTACAAAGAAAGGAAAGGAAATGACATCATTCTTCCCTGTCATTTTGTTTCTCTTAAATTTAAGCTTCCATTAGATTCATATTGTGCAATATCATACAATTTCAAAAATCTTTTGATTTGATATGTCCCCATCTTCGGCTTGAGAAATGCTTCTAATAGTCAAGTGTGTTAATCACACTCTACTTCTCCTACTAAGGATATAATGAACAGAAATATTAAGTAAATAAAAGAAGGAAGAAGAAGAAAGAAAATTAATCAGAAGTGAAAAGGGAATTATGGAAGAAAGGAAAAAAAAAAATACATGAGATATGAGATATCTGCAGGAAGGAAGGTCGACAAAAACAACAAAAATATCGTAGTCAATTTTGTAATTCAATTCTGTTTAGTTTTATAACCTTGATTATATATATACACATTTTAATCACAACTCGTTTCTTCTTATTTTGCAGGCTTGAATACGGCTTGTTACTATACTTCAGAAGGACTTCCCTATTATATTAAATAGCTTTTGAAATGTTTGGAGGTAATAAGAAGAATTGTACAGTCCATCCTTTCCTTGACAATAAACATTCCCTGTGTCTTGCCATGACCTCGAATCAGCTACATTTATATGGAAATTGTAGTCATAAAATCTGAAAAACCTTACGTTCGACCCAACTAACACCTAGAGGGGGGGTGAATAGGTGTTCATGCGGAATTAAAAAAACTTATTAATTAATTCGTGCAACAAGTCACAAGAATTAAAGTTTGTCCAGATTCATTCACATGTCTTAATTACATATGTTGAATTAAATAAACATTCCCTGTGTCTTGCCATGACCTCGAATCAGCTACATTTATATGGAAATTGTAGTCATAAAATCTGAAAAACCTTACGTTCGACCCAACTAACACCTAGAGGGGGGGTGAATAGGTGTTCATGCGGAATTAAAAAAACTTATTAATTAATTCGTGCAACAAGTCACAAGAATTAAAGTTTGTCCAGATTCATTCACATGTCTTAATTACATATGTTGAATTAATGGTAACAATAAATAAATTAAAGCAATAAAAGAACACAACGAATGTTGACGGAGAAACCCCAACTGGGTAAAAACTCCGGGCACAAGCCAGTAGAGATCCACTATTTGTAGAAGGTAACTTACAGTACGCCAGAACAATTGATCCCCTCAATTTTCTAACCTCCTTACTGTTTGAGAACAAGACTCTCCTGGATCTAGCAGATCTGTGCTACCATCCCAGCCTTGTATGACTTCTACTTCCCGTGAATCGTCAAGCACTCCCGCTCTTCAAGCAAGTTCTTCCCGGATCTTCAATCTGAGGATCTTCTGGAAGTTTTATAGGATTTAGAGAAGGTGGTGTTTTGGTGTTTCAGGGTGTGATGTTTTTTTTTTTTTGCTTTTCGAGGATTTTGATCTTCAAGGATTTTAGAGAGAATCAATAATATGGCTTCAATGTGTATTTCCTCTCTATTCAACTCGAAGGAGACGAATCATATTTATATGGCTCAACGTATGGTTTTTGTGGCGCGTCAAAAAATCGCGAGCTTTTAAACTTAATGTTGCCCAGATAAATAGGTCGCTCGAGCGAGGGACCAGCGTGACTCGAGCGACGTCCACTTAGCTAGAGCGACCTGCTGGCGAGGCTCTTGCGACAGTGGTTCTGCAATCGTGGCTCGAGCGAGATCATGGCGTGACTCTAGCGAAATCTCGCACCGTTTGCAACTTCGAGGCATCCATCACAACCCTAGACCTAGCCTTCAACACTTTGATTATTAGCAACTCAAGTCCCTGAACTATTGGACATTTGACACTTTGGTCCTTGACCTTACAATTATGACATTTTAATCCTTGACTTTACAATTATTACATTTTAGTCCTTGGTCACAGATTTGCCAATTACATATTTCCTAACAAAATCCATTTTAACATATCTAGGATATTGGTTTGTGTGTAGATTTTAATCTAATCGTGTCTATAAGGTGATGTATAAGAATGCTTTTTTTACTGCATTTACCCAAGTTACTACCTTACTGGTTTCTGCTCACTTGATATTTTGCCTCAGAACAAGGGATATATAATAATGATAATTGTGTACCTATAGTTGCACACGAACCACATTAGTAGTTATGCCTTCTGACTTTAAGATGGTGAACTGAATACTTTTTATCATTAAATTTGGCATGTAAACATTTAAGGCTCATTTTAATGATCTAGATTGGACTAGACCGGACAAGATTTTAGTTTCCTTTTCTTTTTTAATATTGTCGAGAACAATCCATCCAACCAAAAAGGCCATTAAGACACTCTGGTTGATTGAATAAGTGGAATAATTCTGTGGAAGCATGCACCATGAAATCTCCTTCAGTCTTTCTGATCATTGCAAATATTTACCATCATTACTATAAAGCCTTTCATCTCTAAATTTTGTGCAATTGTTTCATCTGTATATTATATTAGCTACGGCTCATAATAATTTAGTTACTTTCATCTTGTACCTTTTTCATGGTATTAATAGTATCATTATTGGCCACATCCATTTCTCAGAGAGCTAGTCTAGCATTAATGTGGCTTGATGTCCTTCCAAAAGATTTGATGTCGTTAGAGTTTCATTGATAGACAAATGAAAAGCTTTCTCAAGATGCTTATTCATCCACTTGAGAATTTCAAAAACCCCAATTGTGTCGAACTTTTCATTTTTGGAATGGAGGTATCCACCCAAGGAGGAGCTTGCTTGCATCCTAATGAGCTAGTTGGTGAGCTAATAGCTATAAACTTACTTACGTGAATGGATTAAGGCTTAACGATCCCGATCTCGGAAGAGACGCAACATTATGAGGTGAAGAGCCAACGTCGAGATGCCAAGCCTTCCCTAGATATGAGCTCTTGGGGTCCAAAATAGTGAGTCCCATACATAATTACATTTATAACAATGCTGGAAAGTTGCCAAAATACCAAAATATAAAAATCTGATAACTTAAGAGCAAGAAAATAATTCTAAATAAATCATAAACTAATTCCTAATTTTATTTCTAGAATAAGTGTGCATTTTTGGTAAATCTTCATTAAAATATCTAGGGTTAAATATCTCAGTTGCTATTGAATTTTTTCAAATGTTTTTTAGTTGTCATTGAACTTTTCCAAAATGTTTCTGAATTGCCATTGAGCTTTAAAAGTTTTTCTAGTTGTCACTGTTCATGCATTGCAATTTGCATGCTTTTGACGTTAGTGTATGTTATGTCACCAAAATTGTTGAGTGGTGTGCATTCTCAAAATGGTGAGTGACTGATGGGATAACATTTTGGTAATTTTAGAGGCAACTCGAAAATCTTTAAAGTTCAAATAGCAACTAGAAAATATTTGGGAAAATTCAGTGACAACTTCAAAATCTTCTAATGTCAAAACATTTAAACCCAAATATTTATCAAAATCTTCATTGCTTAGCTTCTACTTCCGGTTTTGTTGTTGGTCCGCATCCATTTTGACCGGCATGATGCGGCTGCATAGGCATTCTCCCTCCCAAAAATCAGAGAAATAAAGGATAATAAGCCTGTTTTATATGATCCTAAATAATGTGGGTTAAGACTTTGGATGCACTATTCAAGACTGGTTCTCTCCAAGAGAGTATTCATTCCATGTGCAGCAAGATGATCTGTATGAGGGATGATATTTGTACTACATGGATCTTGGAATAAAAATAATTAATCACCTCATCTTTTGAATCTTTATTGGCTTCACTCTTAGATGTGTTCTGATCTATTTGTTTTACAGTGCCAATTGATTTCCATGTCGGATCAGTAAAGTTTTTTCCAACTAAGCATGACAGTCTAGGTCTCCTACCTAATGAATGTGGCAGGGACACAGAAGCAATCTCGAGGCAGCAGAACCTTCAAAATTGCGTAAATAACAATATTTGTCACGATGAAGCTGATCGACTGAGAATCATTTTGAACCAGAATCCTGTGTCGACTGGTTTAAGGTTGTCTTATGATGACGATGAGCGTAACTCCTCTATTACTTCTGCAAGTGGAAGTATGTTGGATTTGTCATCAATTATATCTTCTCTGTGCAATGATCTCAAAACAGAGTTCAACCTGCCAAATGAAGAAATCAAAAAGTATATCAGAATTCAGGTACTTCAAACCATTTCTTTTTTTGAATTAATTTTTCAGTAATATGGCCAACCATCATTCTGTATCCAAATAAGGTCCCTCTTCCTAGGTGTAATCTGTGCAATTTAATTTTGGTTACAACTTGCTGTACTCGATTTTGTGCCATGACTAATTTTAAGTTCACTTGAACAGGAAGAACACGTAGCCAAAGGGTTAAGGGACTTAAAGCAGAGACACACGACTTCCTTATTGATGGCTCTGGAGAACCTGCTCAGTAAGCAGTTGCAGGAGAAAGATCTCGAGTTCAAGATTATAACTCAAAAAAATCTGGAACTAGTTGAGAGTATGAAGAAAGTTACAGCTGAAGCCCAGAGTTGGTGTTATATGGCCAAGTATAACGAGTCAGTGTGTAATATACTAAAAACCAATCTCCAACTGGCAATGCAAGATTCTAACCAAGGGAAAGAAGGATTTGGAGATAGTGAAATAGATGATGCTGAATCTTTCGTTGATCCAAACAATTACCTCAGCTTACCGGGTGGGTTGGGGAAGCCTAAATCGGTTAAGAATAATATGGTTTGTAAATTATGTAAAATGAAGGAGGTGTGTATATTGTTGATGCCTTGTAGACACCTCTGTCTGTGTAAGGATTGTGAAGGTTCGGTTCGTGTGTGTCCTGTATGCCGGTTGATAACCGCAACTCGTTTCGAGGTATACTTATCTTAAAGAACTAATGAGATTATTTACATTTTCTGACTTTCAACTTATGTTCCGATTTGGCATTTCGATTCTCATATACTAAATGTGTGATTTAAGTTTAAACCAGATAAATATGTTGTCATTTTCTGTTCCCCAATATAATAAAAAACTGTGCAAATGGATTGGTAGGTGTTGACCACAAAATTATAATCAACAAATTCTTCTCAGCGAGCCATGATTTTCTCTTACATTCACAATGCTTGATATACATCAAGGAGCGAGATGAGAAATGATTATTTGAGAAGGAAATATTTGAATTTGTATCCATTCTGCTTCTTAGGTGAGCCTATTTATAGATTATTCTTTTGGGTCCTTTAAGTAAATGATAGGTGGCGGTCAATTAATATCGGGTTTATAACTAATTTTGTCGTGTATTCACATTTTATTTACTAGCTGATGTGCTATTTATTCATTGGTCTTGAAGTTACAATTTAAACATTTATTCGCACGTATATTAGTTATAATTTCTTCAACGGAGATAGCTCGTCTTCTTGTACGCAAGCTTCTGAGTTTGTTCTTAGCCTCGCGTCTCTAGGCACGCATAAAGAGGTCATGTCCTCGTTTGTTCTCCCTACTTATATTTTCTTATTCAACAAATAATCCCTCAAGTTCGAGCCTAACTATTTATGATTGGGCTGTGAACTTGTAGCCTTCTAATATTTCCAGTATGTTTCTGTGCTCATAATGATAGTTAATGCATGGCTAGATGGAATGCCATTTTATCTTAATGCTAATTAACTCGTGATTAGGTGAAATGTCTCTTTGACTTGTGCATTTTAATGACCGTAACTCACACACTTGCTTTGGAACATATGTTTGTATGCCTCTTCATATTCGAGGGTTGAGATTACTTTATTTTTCTATGGCCGATATTGAGTCTGTTGAGATTCAATGGCTAAAATGTGTTTTATGGAGCCTATATATACATAAAATCCTAGTTTTTTTCTTCTTTATTGCCAAGAAATGACTCTGAAATTTTTTCCATTGCTAATTCTTGGAGGGGCCAGTTCCTTTTGTACCCCTTCCAAGAAGCATTCTGTAAATGCTCATTGTGATTCCACTGCATTTTCCTGATGTATCCTCCTTAGCTCTCTTAGTTATACCTTATGTGGTCGAACAAAACTCTGAAATTACTTTAATTTTCCTTTTGCCATGCTATTTCCAAACATTTGTGATTTTGACGCTGGTGCATATGATTCAGAAGCTAGGAAATTTGCTATGTTTTTGCATTTTTCACATACGTGCATCTGTGAGAGATCGCCTAAGATGGAAGGGTGATGGACCTGACTGGTTGTCGCGCCATGAGCTATCAGACAGTTACATTCACCAAACTTGATTCCACCAAAAAGCTTTCGATACGCCTTTTGTCTTTGGCCTCAATTGACCTCGATAATTAAGAATGATGGGTGTATTGGTTAGTTTAGTTTGCATACAAACGTATCTCTTTAGTTAGATCAGTTCGCATATAAATGTACTCCAATCTTGTAACTTTATATGAAAAGATTTCTATCTTCATGTTCGTTATATTTGGTTCAACTAAATTTTTTTAATAAATATATTGCTTAACGATCATCTAACTTTACTGTATTCACTTTTATTTATAATACTTTCTTAAGTATATGCCATTCCAAGTGTGCTTTAAGAGGATCTCATTTTCATCGCGAACTTGTGTTCCCGACGTAGTTAGTTCCATTACTTTGTACGGTCCTCCCATTTTGGGCATAGTGAACTGGAGCCTATTTCTTTGTCTACAACACAGACTTTCTTTAATATCAAGTCCCCTATTCTAAAATTTTTCCTATGAACATTAGAATTGAAATGTCTTTCCATCTTCCCGTGATATATGGCGAGCTTAATTTAGAAGTCCTCTAGCTTTTCCTCTATAAGGACTAAGTTCGTGTTTATAGCCTCTTCATTTTGTTCTTTGTCATATCCTTTTGTTTTGTGGAACTTAACCCGATTTCGATCGGAAGCATGGCTTCCATCTCATAGGCTAAGGAGAAAAGGGTTTCTCCCCATAGTCCTTTTATAGTGTCTAACTTTCCTTTCAAGATGCTATTTCGAGTTTTAATTCACTGCATCTACTTGTTGTTAGCCTAAGGGTAGTATAGAGTGGAGAAATGTTTGTGAATTCCCAGCTTGTTAGACATGGCTCTTTACTTTCTTCCTTGAAATTGCATACCATTATTTGACATTATAGAGTTAGGTACTTCAAATTAAC